GAACTTTTTATAAGCTTTTGGCCTTATATATTAAAGTTGGCCTATGTTGGAAAGTTTGAAGTTGTTTGGGCCCGTGTATTGGAGAAGAGAGGTGATTGCGAACGCGGGCGTGGCCTCGGTTGCCTCTACCATCTTCGTCAGGATAGCCTTGGGGACGCTCCTAGAGCGCTTTGGCCCCGTGACTTGGCGACAGGACCCACTTCCCGAAACTGTTAATTGATCTGCCGGTTACTACGAAGCGGTCAGCACCCTCAAGTGCCGCCATTGCCTGAGGTGAACGTTCAGTGCGGCTTGATGTCCTTCGGGGCCTTTTGGGTGGCCATGGCGGCAGCAATTACAGCTCCCTGGAACTACACGCTGATCCGCTTCTTCATAGGCTGACGGGAGTGACCACGGTATATTATGTGAAATTAGTTATTATGGTAGTTTAGAGCAACATATGTAAGAGCTATTTATTTATTTATTTATTTGTTTTTTGTTTGTAATAGTAGTTGAGCATACCCCGAAAACAGGGTGGGAACAGGGGGGGCTGGGGGATGTCGAGAGAATCGTGGTCAGAAGTATTGGTGTTCTATGTTCATCCTTCGACATGGATGTCCTGCCTTCCCCTTCCTGCGCCTTCCTTGTCCCGGTAGGCTGCGCTGGCGCCACTTTCGTGACCAACCAGTTCTGGTGCTCGCTGATGTTTGCCCCGAACGTTGCCAGAGCTTGTTTCATGGAAGATTCTGCTTCTTTTGAATGTTTCAGGCTCAAAGAGCGTATAAATCGGTCTTTAGCAGTTGCAGGTTGTTGGCACCGCCAACGCCACTGCGGCTGGTTGGGGCAACCTGGGAGGCGGCGTGACCCAGCAGCTTGCACGCGCTTCGCAAACCTTTTTGCACATTGTTCTTGAATGCGGACGTTGGTCGTGATACTTAGTAATTATATAGGTAGTTTTCAACATCATGTCCCTTGTAGGTCCTTTTTGTCAGGGTGCCGTACTTTTTTTTGGGACCGAAAAAGGGACCCTAGTGTAGGGAACTCCCAATATTCAGAAGTGGCTGAGGATTTTTATGATGTCAGTACTGTTCAACCCTATGGTGGCCTCCGGGATGGAGCCGAATGTGGCTTGGCGTGTCTCCATGGTGGTGCCAGCGGTCATGTTCGTGCTTTGCGCCATCTGCATGAAGCTCATGACTCCCGGCGGACGTTTAAGATATGGTTTGCTTGGCTTGAGCCGAAGTTGTTCGATAAACTTGGCTGAACAAAACCATGCGTTCTCTGGGCTTAGCCAAGGTGCTGGGATAT